TCATTCATAATTTCCTTAAGCTTTTTTTTTTTAATTTTTCCACCTTACCAATCCGTCAACCACGGTTTTTTTACCTTTCCTTCATCAATTTCGTCATCTTTTAAAAAGAAATTAAAAAAGCAATTACACCACTAAGAAGGATATTAATTGGAGTACGTTTTCTGATATTTCCTGGAGTTAGGTTTGTATAGTATTGTATAGTATAGTATGCTTGTATAGTAGTTTAGAATCACCATAGTGAGTTTTTTAACTTCGAAATTTTTTTTTCAAAGTTCTGGCTACTAAAATGCATATTTCATTAACGTTTACAAGTTCAGTATTGATCACATCTTATTGGAAATTTTACGTAATTTTCAATGATATCAACGGATTTGCCCAAAACCTTGTAGATTTGAAGTTATCATTGTTTATTTAAAGCAAGGTCCTGAAATCATAAAAAATCAGAAAAAGGGGAATAACTCCAAAAATGTTGAGATTCGGACCATAGTTTATTGGGCTTTTTGGTTTCATTTTGAATGTAGAATCTACTGGCAAAGTTTGTAACACGAGTAGCCGAACACCCTGCATAAAATTTCCACAGGAATGAAATCGCTTTTTCTAAATTTTGTTTAAAAGCCTACAATATGGCAATTGTTCATAATGAAAAATTTGAAGAAAAATAAGCCATAACTTTATGATTTATAGGGATACAAAAATGGAACAAATTCTTCATATTTGGCAAGTCATAACTTTGCATATATTTCTAATGGCCAACAGGCTGTTTAACAATATAAGTCGGGAATTTTTCGTCCTGAGTCGGTAGAATAGTCTTAAAAAACGAATCGTAAATGAGGGGAAAAGTGAAAGGAAATCGCATTAGTCATCCACTTCCCAATATTTATATATCCGATCTCAATCGGCAGGGGACCGGAATCAATCAAATCATCCCCCGTGGGGTGGGATTTTTTTTAGGGATTACCCCACTCTCCTCTTACCATCAACCTACGGGGTTAATAATTGTGATTTATATGCGTGAACCTACACCCCCCGCCTTCGGCAAATGACAAAATGGCGGCTTGGGGCGGAGAGCGTTGCGTGCGTGGGGGCGGTTTGACCAATGGGCGAGTTGCCGGCCGACCAATGGGCAGCCGCCCCCGCCGCCCCCACTGCGGGAAAGTCCAAAAAATTTATCCGACCCCCAGAACGGAAAGCTGCCGACTGAGGGCTGAGCTATTGATTGGCCGGATAAAGAGAAAAAACGCCAAAATTTCGTCTTTGGGGCCCCTCAAACGACCAATACACACGATACTAAATTTCCAATTATACATGACTGACTATGTCCATATACTAAAATTAAAAGTACTATAAGCACACCTCAAAACTGACAAATAGCACAATGTACTCATAGAGATACCACCTATCGAAAAAATCACAGCCCTGTAAGTCCCAAGTCAACAGAACATCGTTGTATATCAATACAACAAAAAAATCAGTAAAAAACCAAGGACAACTCACAGCAATGAATAAACATGAAATTGATTATATTAAAACACGACGAGAAAACAATTTAAAAAAAATTACCATGCGCTAAACAATTAAAATTCACTAATTCTCTTAACCAACAAAAAAAATTTCTTTTTCAATATATGCAATATTCAAATCCAATACAAATCCAAAAATGATTTAGTGAATACTTTATTACTTCACTGAATAATTTCTACTTCAACGATTTCTTTTTTTCTAACTAGTTAAGCTAAGCACATAAGTAAAATTGTTTAAAAGAGAAATTGGCTGTCGGAAATTAAACTCACAGACACATCAAAATTATACCAATCCCGTTTATACCGTATTTTATATGTAAAAAAAATTTGTGGACAGTATAAAACTGAATATAAGGAAAACACAGATAAAACGATACCATGTCCTCAGAAAACTTGAGCAAAAACAACCAAAAAAGTGATATTTTCAAAAAATAATTTTATTTGGGGCTAATTACCTTAATAAAAGTAATAAAACTTCACCTTATCTTTATATCAATGTAATAAATTCATTCATTACTTTAACTTGGAAGATTTTACATTCTGTTAGAAAGAAAACTATTTAAGTACAATCATGATTTTTCTGAACTTAAAATTATACAATAAATTGTAAGTTTATATTGCCACGTTTTTACTATAATTTGTAAACACCTATTAACAATAAAAATAGGTTTACGTACAACCAAAACATTTTAAAAAGAAAAACACATGGCTACATTTTTGATCTCCACCCGTTTGTTTTGCTTTTTTTAAAATAATGTATTTTAAAATACGTATAACAAATTTAATAAAACTGATTCGTCAGATGGTCAGACACTAAAACGAATATTTTTTCCATTTCAGATCAATTAAGACTGATACTGCTGCGGACAGTAACGATCAACGTTTTTGCCACACGTGTTAGGAAAACTACCACATAGATAGATTTTATTGTCTGAATTTTAAGGGTCGTAATTAAATTCGACGAAGGGGTGGCTCGAAAACAGGGGCTCGGTTATGCAATGAAAACGCCGGCCGGTTGTGCGGGTTAATCTCACCGACACCCTGTTTTAGTCAAACATTGAACATTTTCGGGCCTTAAATTAAACAAATAGAAATTAAGTTAAAAAATAGGTTTTATGTATGGTATTTAATTCAGCGGCACAAATAAGGAAAGCACTTTCAAAAATTTCCATATTATTATTTTTTTTTTAAGTTTGAACCGGTTCTATAGGCGTACAATAAATTTTAATAAAGAAGATTTAATGTATTCTGTGTTCCAAAATCTACTGAAGAGAAAAATTCATTACGAAATTTTGTACATATTAAAAGAAATAATAATAGTGAAAAAAATAATTACGAGGAATGAGTTTTGACCTTTCCCACCGATTATCACATCCATAAAATAAAATAAAAATACCGTTAATTCTCAGTAAAACAGACAATGAAAAACCTATAAAAAGGGAAGTTGATGGGCGTCAGGGTCAACGGCGAAATTTCTCTTTCGCCAGGCGGAAATCAGGGCCATAACCTCATTAGTGTAATTGTCCGGGGGGAGCGAGAGTGGAAAAAAAACACTCTGAGGACGGGGGTGGCGCCGCAATGAAAAACCGCACATTCACCCCGATCACACCCCCTCGGGTGAAATGAAAATATACGCGGGGCACGTTTTTAACCGCGTTCGATTTACTCTCCCCAACTTATTTTTATTCCAAATGAAAAAAAAGATATACCTACCAATTAAAAAAAAAAAAAAATAATAGAATAATTTATGTCAGTTACAAAAATAAAACATGCTCTTACGTCTGAAATGTCTATGAATGAATTCTACTATGAGTTCACATGCACAATTTAATTTTTGTTTAAATTATTCTTGTTAAAAAGCATTTCCTCTTGAACTTTATGATTTTCTTTTTGTTGTTATAAGGACAAATAGAAAGAAAAAACCAATTTCCTTCGTACAGCCAGGAATACCTTTTCATCGAAACTAAGAAATTATATTCACTAGTTTTCGTGGTCCGCTTGACCAATTAATGTCATTCATAAGGATTTAGTTGAGATAAAAAAGTCAGTGTCACGAGCGGGATTCGAACCCACGACCTTTGGCTTGATACGCCGCTACTCTACAAATTGAGCTGTGACTTCCCTAAGAAATTATATCGAAAAATTAATATAAAATTATAATACTGAAAATGGGTGACTATATCGTAGGGAATATGAAATTATATATATAAATAATAGGTAAAAATTAGTATAGCTTTGAAAAGAAGAATTGCTAATATGTGCTTTTTTTATTGGCAAATCAGTTTGAGAAAATAAATTTGGAATTTTGTCACGATATTACCACTTAGTTTTTTTTTGCTTGCCCCCAGTTTACTGGTTGTACAATATTTCAAAATTTCCATAATTTTTCTATATTATTAGACAAATCTTTACTAATCGTATTGTACAATGTGCGCCTGAAGTGGAGTCTTTTTATTGTGATATTATGACATTTCTTCCTTTGGTCTGCGGGATGATAAACCTATTGTTTGATAGTCATCAGGTCAGCCTATCCTCTCTGATGTTTGTTAATTTCCGACTTTCCGCCATCTTCAGTGGCTCTGAAATCGCCGAAACCCTGCCGAGACGTGTTTGAATTAACAAAAAAAAAAAAAAACAAAAAACGGCGGGATTAGGCGGATCATGATGATAGGTAACTATCGAGCAATAAATTTGAATCCGTACATGTTTGACGGTCATAATTATTTCAATTCAATATTCTTTTTATCTAAGATCTTGGTTGACATGAAAAAGTTCGTATTATGGGAGGGATTCGAACCCACGACCTTGATTGAACGGCGTATTGAGCCGAAGGTCGTGGGTTCGAATCCCGCTCGTGACAATGAACTTTTTCATATCAACCAAGACCTTAGATAAAATTGACCGCTTTTGTATTATTTCCTTTGAAAAATTAATAATGGAAGAATTTTTAAACAATTAATTTAAAATGGAAATGCGTGTCCATTTTCTCAGTTAATTTAATTTGGTCTCTTGGCGAATTCATGGCTGGACTTCATAATGAATTTTGCGAGGCCCGGGCCCGTAAATAAACAATTGATTTCATTCAAAGCGCGTTGTCGTGTTTACTGTTTATATTCCGTTTCACTTGTCCAAACAGTCGGAGCCCTGTATAGAATCCTGTTTGTTTAAATGGCGAATGTTGGCGATATTAAGGAGGGTAAGAAATTTCTGCAGGGTCGAGTCCTCTTTCCGGTCCCAGCGTCGAGGGCTCTGGGACACCACGACACCCAAGTTCGAATCGTAAACAGCCCCAAAATTCGGTACAAGTCTGAGAGTTCCATTACTATTTCCCTACGGCCTCGGTCAAGGATAAAGACACAAATATAATAAAAAAAATATCTTAAATGTAAAATTTACCTGTGATGCGATATCCAGTCTGCTACTAATTAAGAAACATAATTCATTGCAATTATGCTAAAGAAAAGAAATAATTTTGCTTACCTCCAAAGGGAGTTGAAGCTTCGTAATGTCGTCTGGTTGAGAAGTGCAGATCTCCAAAACTGTTCGCCTTCACTTCAACTTAACGTCCGTTTCTTTGCAATTATTATTTTTACAGTAATAATAATTAGTAATAATTAAGCCCAGTCTTTTTCTTAGAAAAATATCACAACCATTTTGTATCACAAGTTTTCGACCGATTATATAAACAATAAAAACGAACTAACGACTAATTTTTTGTTCTTTTTTTTTATTAATATGTCTACGATTATATAATTAATTTTTTTTGCTGTTACAAATCCTTAAAATAAACTTCGATTTTCTCCACAAGATATAAAATTTATAACCGTATTCTTTTAATAAGGTTTTAATAGGCCACGAATTGCTATCAGACGACTTTGACGATATTGGACGTCTAGGATAAAGAGAGTGAAAGGAAAATAATTCAATATATATATAATATTATTTTATAAAACGAAACTTTTCTTCTTTTTTTTAAATAAACAATTTAAAGTGTCCTCAATAACAAATAGTCCCTCTTCTAAAATATAATAATTATAAATAGGCACATGAGGAATATTCTTCAGAATTCTTCACCAAAGAGTAACTTCAGAAAGATCACTAATTTTCACTAAGGCGCGTTCTGGATTAATTTAAATGTTAATTATTATATAGATTATTAATTATTATTATCAATTTAGAACGCACTTAAATACCCGTCGAAAAGAACTTTTTCACTAGTTCCCGATTTAGAATTTAGCTTTTTTCGTTGAGGTTTGTTTTTGAATTTTTAATAAGGTATATTTTTTGTATTAATTATTTATCAATATATTCAATAAATAATTTTGTAAGGGGGTTTATCATATATAAAAATTATATATATATATTTATTTATTTTGGATTTTTTGAATCTTTGTGGAAGGATAACCGTTTTTGGAAAGAATTATCGTCTCGGTAACGGGCCCGTTTGTTACTTGTGGTTTGGTTGGGTGGGATTTGTAACTGGGATAGGGATTGGAGCCTGTAGGGGTGTCTTGTCTTGTTAGACTAGAGCATGTGAAGACTTAGGGGCTTAAGCCCTGGTCCGCGGGCAGGGGGCTTAAACAAGCCTCTCCCGCGGCGGTGAAATTTTTAAGGTCTCTTCTCGAACAGGTGCCGGTAGCTCCCGGGGCTACATCTGTCCAGGGCCGGTCATTTCACAAAAACTGGTAAAACGATCAAAACAAAGACGAGGGGAAGGGGCAAAGTCCGAAAACGCACTTCCGAAGTCCCCCTCAGTCCTTCTTCCCCACCATCACACCTGGAAAAACAAAAAGTCTTAAGTCGCGTCGGGTGGTGTTAGGCGGCCAGGGGGAGGAAGAAGGTCGGATGAGGATGCGGCCTACCGGTGTCGCTGATGATGTGCTGTAGTGATGATCTGCGTGATGATCAGGTGTCGTTCTTGCCCCGCGGTCCAAACTGCACTGGGATGCAGATTTCTAGCTACTAGCGAGAGGTGCAGTTTGGCGCGCCCCCACCCGCGTTCCGCCCTCGACCCCCACTCGCGTGTCCTCGTGTCTGTGTGTGTGCGTGTCTGCGTGTGCGAGTATTGCGAAATCCAGCCCCCTCTCTCGTTCACTCTTTTCCCCCCCTTGTGACCGGTTTGTGCGAATTTTTCAACCGCCCCCTCCCCGGCCGACCACCCTTTCTCCTGTACCGGAGAGGGTTTAACTTAAATTAATGACCGGCCCGTCATACAATGCCGCAACGGACACACTTGCTCGTGGGAAGGACTCACGACAAATGACATTCGGGGGGTTGGAAAAAATTTGTCCCCGGATCCGAAGAAATAAATCATCCCTCGAACGTCCGCTCGCCCCTCGCCCACACCTCGTCGCCTTTGAAATCCCATTCCACCCCGGATTTCCTCGAACCAGTCAATTTGTACAAGCTGCATTTAAAAGTTATTTCCTGAAAAAAAAAAGCCAACTCTCCGTTTTTCCCGTACAAGTCCCACCTCCATGGATTCCATTCACCTACCTCAACCTAGATTATTCGAAGTTCTTCGTCCATAGAAAACAAATCAGATCTATCCCTGCTTTTGAACCAGACCAGACCTCTCGTAACAAACTTGACCCCTTCATCATCACAGACCAAACATATCTCACCGTTTCTCGTTGGTGAAAAGTAGAACAGACTAAATAAAACATATGAAAAGGTCTTACTAACGAATTAAATTGAAATTTGACGTTTCCTTTAATGCATTAACTTAACTACTTACTAGCTTCAAAAGAAAGCGCGTGGTGACCGAGGCTGAAGAGAATGTTCCTCAAAATTACAGAAGGATCTAAGTAGTTGTGGAAAGATAGCAGTTCGGTGTATAAAGGGGGCCGATTTACTGTTCAGAAGAGATGAAATTTGGAATTCGAGTGATGTACATGGTAGACTCTTAAAAGGTTAGAGCAGTGTTTCCAATCGCGGGGCATACGCCTCACAGGGGGCAATTTGAATTTTAAGGGGGGCGGGCTATTTTGAAAATAACTCGTTTAGATGTGCCCAAAATATAAAAAAATTCGAAAAAGTAAGTGATTTTACCGGTTTTTGATTTTAACCTACCTGTTGAGGGGCGAGTTGTGAGTTGGATTTATTTGACTAGTTTATTTAGATCTGATCTACTTATCGGTTCAGAAATTGTCCCCAGTATGTAAAAATACTTTTTGAAACTAATGAAATATCTAAATACCAAAAAAATTCGAAAAAGTATGTGTTTTTACCGGTTTTTCGATTTTCATGTACCGGTTGAGGGGCGAGTTACAAATTGAGGAATGGATGTATTCGACTAGTTCAACTTGGTCTCAAGTACCTATCGGGTCGAAAATTGTACCCAACACGTGAAAATATTTTTTGAAACTAACGAGATATTGAAAATTAAGTGTTTTTATCGTGTTTTTTTTCGCCTACCTGTTGAGGCGCAAGTTGCGAATTGGGGAATGGATGTATTCGACAAGTTCAACTTGATCTCACGTACCTTTCCGGCCGAAAATTGTATCCAACATGTAAAAATATTTGTTGAAACTAATGAGATATTGAAAATTAAGTGTTTTTTTCACCTTCCTGTTGAGGGGCAAGTTGCGAGTTGGGGGAATGGATGTATTCGACTAGTTCAACTTGATCTCAAGTACCTACCGGGTCGAAAATTGTACCCAACATGAAAAAATATTTTTTGAAATTAATGAGATATTGAAAATTAAGTGTTTTTTTTTTCACCTTCCTGTTAAGGGGCAAGTTGCGAGTTGGGGAATGGATGAATTCGACTAATTAACATGATCTCAAGTACCTATCGGGTCGAAAATTGTACCCAACATGAAAAAATATTTTTTGAAACTAATGAGATATTGAAAATTAAGTGTTGTTTTTTTTTCACCTTCCTGTTGAGGGGCAAGTTGCGAGTTGGGGAATGGATGTATTCGACTAGTTCAACTTGATCTCACGTACCTTTCCGGTCGAAAATTGTATCCAACATGTAAAAATATTTGTTGAAACTAATGAGATATTGAAAATTAAGTGTTTTTTTCACCTTCCTGTTGAGGGGCAAGTTGCGAGTTGGGGGAATGGATGTATTCGACTAGTTCAACTTGATCTCAAGTACCTACCGGGTCGAAAATTGTACCCAACATGTAAAAATATTTTTTGAAATTAATGAGATATTGAAAATTAAGTGTTTTTTTTTCACCTTCCTGTTAAGGGGCAAGTTGCGAGTTGGGGAATGGATGAATTCGACTAATTAACTTGATCTCAAGTACCTATCGGTTCGAAAATTGTACCCAACGTGTAAAAATACTTTATGAAACTAATGAGATATTGAAAATATCGAAAAACGTCGATAAGTATGTGTTTTTACAGATTTTTTTATTTTCACCTATACCGGTTGAGGGGCAAGTTGCGAGTTGGTGGATGGATGTATTCGACTAGTTCAACTTGATCTCAAGTACCAATCGGTTCGAAAATTGTACCCAACGTGTAAAAATACTTTATGAAACTAATGAGATATTGAAAATACGAAAAACGTCGAAAAGTATGTGTTTTTACAGATTTTTTGATTTTCACCTATACCGGCTGAGGGGCAAGTTGCGAGTTGGTGGATGGATGTATTCGACTAGTTCAACTTGATCTCAAGTACCTATCGGTTTGAAAATTGTACCCAACATGTAAAAATACTTTTTGAAACTAATGCAATTTTTTTATTTTCACCTACCTGTTGAGGGGCGTGCTGCGAGTTGGAGCGTTGATATATTCCACTAGTTTATTTACATCTAAGCTACTTATCGGTTCGGAAATTGTCACCAATATGTAAAAATACTTTCTATAACTAATGAAATATCTAAAATACCAAAAAACTTCGAACATGTATGTGTTTTTAGCGGTTTTTTTTTATTTTGACCTACCGGTTGAGGGGCTAGTTGCAAGTTGGAGAATGGATGTATTCGACTAGTTCAACTAGATATGGGCCGATTCACATTCACTTTTTTGGAGACATTTTCTATTTTCCTTTTTTGAGTGAAAAAGTTGGAAACCCTCAGTTAATAATGGGTAACTGGGATTTAAACATATCGATCTAATGATCGTTGAGTTTTCTCCTCGACTATTTTTTACCAGAAATTCTCATACTAGGCAAAGAATTTCCATTTAAGCAAGAAATAACATCGTCAAACTAAAATGACTCCACACAGTTAAGAGACTCCAACAGCTTTTGTATGTGTCTATATAAACACAAAATTTGATCGATTCTTAACAACTTTTATTTAACATGTCACAAACTAGAAAAGAAAATTGCGAAAAAGTTTTTTTTTAAATAATCCAACGTACAATAACAATCATTGATTTAGCAGGTCATATTGTCATTTAACATTGTTTAAAACATAACGTCTACAGAAGTGTTTCTCAACGTGGGACCTACGCCCCAAAGAAGGATAATTTGATTTTTAAAGGGGGGGATTTTGAAAATAACTCGTTTACATTTTTAGCCAAATATGTGCGATTCTCAAGCTTGGGTCATCGCTGCAGTAATTTAAATTATTGATAGTTAAATCTTTGTAAAGTATCGCTTTTTCATAATTCAGTATATTTTATTAAAGTGTCCAATAAATTATATGAATATTAAGCTGACTGGGATTCGAACCCCGAAAAAATTTATCAGTAAGTTTAGTTAATATTAATTTTTTATGACCTAGTTTCCGTAAATGAGGGATGGAAACGTTAATTAAATGAAAAATACAACCGCATTGTTGAAAGTCCGTATGAAGGCTTGTACGTGCTTCAGATTGATCCTCGTGGTGGTAACGAAGTAAACATCCCGCACTTCAATCACTGTTACATTTGATTACTTGCAAAACTTAATGCAATAATAAGAAAACTTAATTTTTATCAAAAAGTCAACGTTCAATACGCCATATTTCTCG